GTGGAAAATTTTCTTCATTTTGCTTTTGAGGATAAAACATCTCAAAACCTGATAGTTAATATGAATAAATTAGTAGATTTTGAACTTTCACAATAGCAGGTAGCAAGTAGCGCAATATACCTTTCATTTTATCCTGATAACATCATTTTATCCTGGAAACAGCATATCTTGTAGTAATTATTTATAAGCATCGTATATATTGTACAATTTTGATACTGTTCAGTATATGCAGGCATTATAATTATATTCTATGCTATCTATTCTACAAATAGTGTGTTGTCTATTTCTACATGTACACTGTAAAATGTGCTGTCTTCTTCTACATGTTATAAACTCTAACATCTGGTGTCTATTTCTATTTTAACACTGTATTCTATGGTGTCCATCTTTACATATCCCAGTTAAAAAATAGAAAATTATCTTTATATGCTATCTTCCTACTGTTGGGGCTCCAATGATGAATTAGTCAACAAATAACCTGGGATATAAAATAAACTCAACAGCTAGTCCTACTGAAGAAATGTTTGCCAGCAGTTAGTCCTACTGAAGAAATGTTTGCCAACAGCTAGTCCTACTGAAGAAATGTTTGCCAACAGTTAGTCCTACTGAAGAAATGTTTGCCAACAGTTAGTCCTACTGAAGAAATGTTTGCCAACAGTTAGTCCTACTGAAGAAATGTTTGCCAACAGTTAGTCCTACTGAAGAAATGTTTGCCAGCAGCTAGTAAATAGATGTTTGCCAACAGTTAGTCCTACTGAAGAAATGTTTGCCAGCAGCTAGTAAATAAATGTTTGCCAACAGTTAGTCCTAGTGAAGAAATGTTTGCCAACAGTTAGTCCTACTGAAGAAATGTTTGCCAAAAGTTAGTCCTACTGAAGAAATGTTTGCCAACAGCTAGTCCTACTGAAGAAATGTTTGCCAACAGTTAGTCCTACTGAAGAAATGTTGGCCAACAGTTAGTCCTACTGAAGAAATGTTTGCCAACAGTTAGTCCTACTGAAGAAATGTTTGCCAACAGTTAGTCCTACTGAAGAAATGTTTGCCAACAGTTAGTCCTACTGAAGAAATGTTTGCCAACAGTTAGTCCTACTGAAGAAATGTTTGCCAACAGCTAGTCCAACTGAAGAAATGTTTGCCAACAGTTAGTCCTACTGAAGAAATGTTTGCCAACAGCTAGTCCTACTGAAGAAATGTTTGCCAGCAGCTAGTCCTACTGAAGAAATGTTTGCCAGCAGTTAGTCCTACTGAAGAAATGATTGCCAACAGCTAGTCCTACTGAAGAAATGTTTGCCAACAGTTAGTCCTACTGAAGAAATGTTTGCCAGCAGCTAGTAAATAAATGTTTGCCAACAGTTAGTCCTACTGAAGAAATGTTTGCCAGCAGCTAGTAAATAGATGTTTGCCAACAGTTAGTCCTACTGAAGAAATGTTTGCCAGCAGCTAGTAAATAAATGTTTGCCAACAGTTAGTCCTAGTGAAGAAATGTTTGCCAACAGTTAGTCATAGTGAAGAAATGTTTGCCAACAGTTGGTCATAGTGAAGAAATGTTTGCCAACATTTAGTCTTAGTGAAGAAATGTTTGCCAACAGTTAGGCATAGTGAAGAAATGTTTTCCAATGGTTGGTCATAGTGAAGAAATGTTTGCAAACAGTTAGTCCTAAGGGGCCATCCATATTTGATGTCACACATCTAGGGGGTAGGGGTCAAGAAATTTGGGATAATCTATTATAAGGGTGTCTAAATTGTGTTACAAATTTGTGATGATGGGGTGGTGGGGTACTAAATCATCCAAAATAGTGGATGGCTTGTAAGATAGAAACTTGAGTGCACATTCATCTCACCCCGGACATATGCCATTAACAGCTATTGATGGTTTGTTTTTTAAAGACTATGAACTGTACCTAATTGAAAATAACATTTATTTGCCATTTTAACACAATGGCTGTGCACAAATATGGAACAAATGCTTGTATAGTGTGGTTGTTAAATATTTCTTACTGCGGGGGGTCTACACAGTGGCGTGTGTAGGGAGAGATAACATGCACCCCACGTCCTGCATTTTAGCACCCATTCCGAGCACACAAACATCTCTCTCCCTTTATTCAGTCAATGAACATTCAATCCCCCCCTCCTTAAAAATTCTTGCTGTACCACTAATACTGACCACTGGCGTAGGAAGGGGCGGTGTTTTTTTCTTTATATTGAGTGAAAGCTTTGCTCCGAACTGCAGTTTTTCTTGAAGGGGGTTGGAGAAGGGGGCAATAAATCTTGGCCTGCCTCAGGCAGCACTGACCCTAGCTACCGCACTGCCACCAACTCTTTGCATTCATAAATAAATGTTATCATCTTTAACACTGGTATTCTCTTTCTCAATATAATTTTAAAAAAATTCTATTGCCTTGGAGTGCCAGTAATTTAGTATTGGCTTTTGTATTTGAACACAACATTCCATCTTATTGTACATGCATATGTATAAGTTAATTTAAAAATCCAACTTTTGATTTGAATCCTAGTTAAGGTGGTGCACGCCTTTAAATTATAGCTGTACCAGGAACACATAATTAGAGTGTTTTACATTGTTGTGACTATTTCGGTCTGACCTATAGAGAGATTAAAATACTTCTATTTATTAATGAATAAATGCTTCATCATTTTGAAAATAATTCTTGCTTAATATAAATTATTGTAATAAACGTTTTTTGTTTTGAAGAAAGAGAGAGAGCAGTTATATTTGTGTGTTTTTGCTTTGGAAAGATATCTTACAATAACAAGATATCATCATCATCATATGCAGAATTAATGTTGACTTTAGATCCTGATGTTTGATATTGGCTTTATGAATGTCAGGCTTTATTTCATTGAATTTTCTTTCATGCCTTTGTTGTGGCCAAGTTTATGGCTTATTAGCACTATTGATTTCTAAACTGGTATTCACTTTTCTAGACCACAATTTCATATCCATGTTATTATCGTTATATGTGTTGTTTTATTTTCTACAACCACCTTTATAGGTGATGGTATCATTTCATTGTAAGCTTTATAGTTGATGATATCATGCCTACAAACTACCGCTACAATTGTAATGGCTTGTCCCCATACCAAACAAGTTTTTACTTTGACAGAGGAAATTTGATGGGTACAGGGGAAGTAATCTAGGTTAATATCATTTCACTTTAGTTTACTGAACCTGGATAATGGTTTGCTATTTTAAAGTACGGGTATTTAAATAGACCTACTTTGTTGGTTTTTAATTGAGAGAATCCATGGGTGAATAAACCAATTAGTCATCTCTTCTTTATGTTGATAAAGACTTGACTGAGAGAGATTCATCATACAGCAGCTGCACAATTTTCTAGAACAGAACTAAAAATACAAATTTCAATCTATTTTTTTAAACATTTTGTAACCTGATGAAAACTGAATTAGTGGTCCGCATGACATAAGTACATTTTTTTTATTGAATAATTTTTTTTTTAGTTTTTCATTTTATTTTTTCTTGAGATTTTTAAAATTGTTTGAATATTTTCATTTATGTGATGTTATTTCTTTGAAACCCCTTTGGCATGAGCTCATATTTTTTTTATCAGAGGCCAAGGCTAGCATATTACCAAAACATGTGATATCTTAGCAGTGGAAATAATGGCTTTCATTCTAAGTTTTAATCAGAGCTGTTTTTATATATTAAAAAAAAATTGAAACATACAAATTCTTGTGTTAAACTTAACTAGGCTTGTTTTTTGTTTTTTTTTTACATATTGATCTCCTTTTGATCTTTGACAGGACAAACCTCTGAAACAAGAACATAGCTAGAAACAAGGCTATAGCTAGAAACAAGGCTATAGCTAGAAACAAGGCCATAGCTAGAAACAATACCATAGCTAGAAAGAAGACCATAGCTAGAAACAAGGCCATAGCTAGAAAAAATGCCATAGCTAGAAACAAGGCCATAGCTAGAAACAATGCCATAGCCAGAAACAAGGCCATAGCTAGAAAACAGGCCATAGCTAGAAACAAGGCCATAGCTAGAAACAAGGCCATAGCTAGAAGGAAACAATGCCTTAGCTAGAAACAATGCCATAGCTAGAAACAAGACCGTAGCTATTAACAAGGCCATAGCTAGAAACAAGACCATAGCTATAATCAAGGCCATAGCTAGAAACAATGCCATAGCTATACACAAGGCCATAGCTAGAAACAATGCCATAGCTAGAAACAAGGCCATAGCTAGAAACAATGCCATAGCTATACGCAAGGCCATAGCTAGAAACAAGACCGTAACTAGAAACAAGACCGTAGCTATTAACAATGCCATAGCTAGAAACAAGACCATAGCTATTAACAAGGCTGTAGCTAGAAACAATGCCATAGCTATACACAAGGTCATAGCTATTAACAAGGCCATAGCTATTAACAAGGCCATAGCTAGAAACAAGGCCATAGCTATTAACAAGGCCATAGCTAGAAACAAGGCCATAGCTAGAAACAAGGCCATAGCTAGAAACAATGCCATAGCTAGAAACAATGTCATAGCTAGAAACAATGCCATAGCTATACACAAGGCCATAGCTAGAAACAAGGCCATAGCTAGAAACAAGACCATATCTATGCCACCCATAGCTTAGTCAAAACTCACTGGTTAGTCCTTTAGTAAAATATATAGAGGAACACAATTCAACAAATTTTTTTAAAGAAATAAAAAATAGTAGCATAGTGACGTTATTTTATATTTACATTGACCATATCGATGTTTGCAGTGATTATGATAGTGGCATTTACAGTTGTCATTCTGACATTCATTTACGGTCACATGTTAAAATTTGTAGTGATGAATATTACATTTACATAATGACAAGAGAGACATTTCAAGATTTGATAGTGCCATTATGTTATGATCTTGACATTTACAGTAAGTAAAATTAATTATTTAACACTACAACCTACTTTATTTGTGTTTATGCAATATGAGTTACACAAGAAAATATGCCAGACAAATTAATCTCTGCTAATGAATGATAAACACATCTGTGCAATTGTGTGTAATGATATGTTTTAATAAAATAAATGAAAACTTCAAGCTTAGTTGAGTTGATTTAGTGTTAGTGTGTCCGTTAGAGTCAAAGTGTAAACTGATTTCTTTGATTAAAACCTTCAAGTAAGCATAAATCTGTCTGAAATCAAGTGGCTAACCAAACAAAATGAAGCATAAAAGATTATGTTGATTATAGTAAGATTATACATATTAGACAAGCAGACATGCACAATATGCTTATTGAATCGCACAATTATACATTATTAATGCAATAAATTTGAAATCTTCTGTACTACTTTCCTACGTCTTGTGATAAAATATGATACACAGTTCAGTGTGGACAGATATTTTAATCCATCAAAGAATTAATTTTTTTGAAATGAATGTAGAAAAATTGTGTATTATTAGAGCATGCATGAAAAAGTCATCAGAGACCAAAGTGTAAATGTGCCACATTTTGTCTGTCTGTGTGTGTGCTCACAGATGCATATAAATTAAGACGAAGAGGGGAGGAAAAAAACCCAGTTTTTTTTTATGTATCGTGAAATTTATTATCAGTTTATCACAAATAAAAAGAATTAAATATATTCAATATCTGATAGCCTGAGGGCCTAATGAATGAATAATTGCTGGATCGATTGCTGTATGCCCCGGGCTAATAAGTCAATAAAATCATCATCATCAATGGCATTATAGCCCGCAGAGGGCTCTGGTTTGCTTCACCACATCTTTCCACTAAGAACAAGCCATGCCCTTACTTGTCAGTTTTGATGTAAACCCAAACATTGAGAATTTATAAATTGAAATTATTATAATAAATTGAGTTTAAGTTTTTAATTTAACTCATACAAATGAATAAACAAATGAAAGACTGGATACAACAAACATTAAAAATAAAAAATGTTTCATGACCAAAATTCATTGTAGTAGATTCTTCACACATATAATGTTCACATGACCAAAGATCATTGTAGAAGATACTTCACAAACATAATGTTTCATGCCAAAAGATCATTGTTGTCGATTCTTCACAAACATGTTTCATGGCCAAAGTTCATTGTGGTCGATTCTTCACCACATCAAATAAAATGTTGGTCAGCTCATAGCGGCAGTCTCTCCACGTCAAATGTGATGGAGGTTCTGTTTCCCCCCCTGATAAGAACTCAAAATGCTTACTGAGTTCAATAGCCAATGAAGATTTAATGAGTCCTATGCCCCCATACTGCTCTGATGCCGGGTGGTACACACGTCCAGTTTCTGGGAGCATGCATATGTTTTCTGGTTCAAAGTTCACAGTTAGACGATCTCCTGCGCCATTGTATGAAAGGAGACCCGGCTCAGAGCTTGAGCTATCTAAAATATGAGTATATACTATTGGGGTGTCATCACAGCGGACAAAATTGAGCTCTCTGCCACAAGGCGATAGATAAGGGAACTCATCCATGTATTTTCCTGATGTGTTTCTCTTCAGCCTTTTAAAAAAGAACACAAGAAAATCCTTTTCTGTGAAGTCAAGAAATAATAAATAATATAAATATGAAAATAAAATGATTTTTAAAATTAAATATGACAAGATTAAATTAAAAAAAGATATATAGATTATAGAAATCAACTTGATAATATAATGGTATTAACAAATAATTGATGCCATACAGTCAATGGCTTAACAACTAACCTTTCATCATGTAGGACTTATTCATATAACAGATGTTTAAACCTGAACAATTTTTAACCAACAGTAGAGATATGAAGAGATCACAAGAGGACATGCACTATATGCCTATTACTCACAGACAGATCATAAGCATACAGTTAATTAATTATGAACAAGGCAAATTGTTCATTTTATGAACAGTGCAGTTCAGCTAAAGTTGCAAAAAAACATGCTATCAGTGCAGTTCCATTTTACATAGGATAGAATTTATAACACTGAACATATTGTGTCAAGGCAATTGATCAAGGACTCTATAGATTTATGATCATTGTTCTTGAATTGACCAAAGATCTACTGGAAAGAACATACAAGCTTCCCATTGATAAAGACATCATAAGGAAAAGATGGAGGTGGATAGGGCACACTTTCTGAAACCCCCCAGATAGCATCATCAGACGGTCCCTAACATGGAATCCACAGGGAAAAAGAAAGAGAGGAAGGCCTAAGAATACATGGAGACGCGGGCTAGAGGCAGACACGCAAAGTACGGGATACACCTGGAAGCAACTGGAAAGGAAAGCACAGGACCATGATGAATGGAAAATTCTTGTAGATGGCATATGCCCCAGATGGCGTAAAAAGGCATATGTAAGTAAGTAAGTATAACATGATCAAAGTCAAAGACTCTATAGATATAATCACATTACATCATAGTATGATCAAAGACTATAGATATAATCACATTATATCATAATATGATCAACCTCTTCATTTTTGTTGTTGTCATTATGGATTTACTCTGGCAGCCACAACTTAGCTGGTAAGGTTGCAGCAATTTTGCACAGTACTGTGTTATGAGCCAGCTTGCCACAGTTCTTCTAAAATCAGCAAGCTATTTCTGTCCTGATCAGCTTACAGTGGAGTTTTTTTTAACTCAGAAATTCTCTTCTCCCAAGATAGTTGCCTGACATGAACAACAAGTCCATTCATCGTTCAACCCCCTATTTCAGTTTCAGCTGGGGGTGATCTGAACAAGATTTGAACAGAGAGGCCAGCAACATTGCAACTGCCCCTCTGTGACTGACTTCTTTGGATATATAACAGCATGACCAATAATGAAGAACTTGATGTCTTTGCCTACATTTTGCCTTTGTGAATAAATTTAAACATGTTAACTGATCTAAAAACTCACACAAAGGTGCTAATTTACAGACTGAGTACCTGCATTTTGTTGTGATAGGTGAATGAAGTCATAGCTTTATCAGGTTAAGCTGATTAATAAGGTTTTTTGAGATTTTTAAACCACAGGAAAAATGGGGTGATTTTGTCCATTTAAAATAAAAGACAGAACAATACATGTAGAAATTATAAATACAAACAAATTAAATAAGTCATTTTCTTTTTTCAATATACACTGTTTGATAATAATATTTATTGAACATTGTAATGAAAGGTGGGCCAGGTGATGGAAAATAAGATGACCAGTTCACATCAAATATGATTCTTTGTGGTCTTTTCTTTCAATACAAACCTTTTACATCATTTTCGGCATTTACACCATCTAATGATAGCTTTAAGTTTTCATGGTAGACTTTCTTTCACTGTAAAACCTTTCCAATTATCTCAGCTGATCTTTTATCATTTTATTTGGCAAACAATGTCTTGAAATCATTTTACAAAATCTCGAGGTGTTTTATCCTTGAACCATTTCACCGCGACATCACTTTGGTCAAGACTGGTCCATATTAAAAAATGTAGGCTTATATCAGTTTTTTTCTAGTGGAGGCATTCCTAAATCTGATACTATTTTTAGGCGCTTTACTAAATTTCCTTTAATCCTCTTGACAGAGATTGCCCACCAGGTGTATTCTTGTCTCTAAAGTAACATTTAACAAGTTCCAAGAGTTCTCAAGTCAATGGTGTCTTTCACTTTTAGATGCCTTCTGTAGCAGCAGTAGATGTTCTTTTACAATTCATCTTTATAAGTACACTTAGTGTCTTCAGAATAGTCTCTTTAGCTTCAGTTCATAAGCATTCTCTGGTGAAGTCATGGCAAGATGATCTGGAAAAAGAAAAAACAAAGAGAGAAATCAATAAAAATCAATGTCTCACTTCATAGGGTGACTTTTGCCCCATGCTGAATGCTGTGAAAGAAAAGCAATAAATATATTTTTAACTTAAACTTAATCAACATAATCAACTCCTTTATCTTTGAAATTTATAAAAATTGAATGCTTAGGGAAATAAATTATAACTTTAAAATGAAACTTTAAACTCACCTAAATCAGCAAGATATCATGTCCAGAATCTGAGAGCTCCAACAGTCCAAACTCATGGTTTGGCAAGGTAAGGATGGCGAAAACTCTACATAAAGCAACATGTTTGCTTTCATTAACAGTTAAACATTTAGGGGAAAGAACTCTTGAAAATCATGAAAAACAACTTTATCAATATAAATATAAGCATTTCATTTTAAAAAGTCAAATCTTCCCTTGAGGCAAAGTCACCCCATTTCAAGGTATTCACAAATATATATTACCTTTAAAACAGGAGGTGAAATTTTTCATCCTGGCATCATCAAGAAACAGCTTGGCAATGAGAATTTTAAAATAAAAAAAGAAAAGAAAAATCAATAATTTTAAATTACAAACTACACAACACATGAATTCAAAAAATTACATTCTCTGTAAATATTTTTTAAATGAATCCTTAGAAATATTTGACATATCAATCACATGCCACTTCGGTCATGAGTCATACTGGTAATCTATTCAGTTCAGCCTTTAAATTTTTTGCATATTTATACATCAAACGTCACTATTAGTCTTGTTAACCAATATGGGTTGTAGAAATCCCTTTTAAATTTTTTCATAAGATTTTATTAGCCTTATAGAATGTATTACCTACTTTAACAGAAAAGTGGCAAAGAAGAGAAACTTATTGATTGGAAATGGCCGTCAGCAACTCCATATTTCAATTTTAAACAGGCAAACTAATTTTTCTATTTTAATCTTTTTGTATAGAAAAAATTAGTGACCTATCTTGCGATTCATTTCTGTGGAACAAATGCCATCTTATTGCTGTTTGTCTTTTGCATGCAAAGATGACTAAGGTTATATTCAACAGTGAGTATGGTAAGCAAGTGGCCTGCCAGTCCTATTTGGGCCTGGAAAACTTTCCCGCTCATCGATGCTTTTTCTCGCCCTGCTCAGTCTTTGGACATAAGCGGTGCGCTTATTATCTGAGTATTGTGCTCCAACAATGAGTCTGCCATACTAGCTTGTACGATTCATAGCAAATATTGACCACTGGACAATTTCAATGTCTATGGATTTGAGTGAAGTTTTAAGACAGTTCTTGAAGCCTTTTTTATGCCCAACAGCTGAGTGTTTCCCTCTGGAGAGTTCACAGAACATTAGTTTTTTTAGGAAGTCTGCTGTCTGGCATTTTTCTGCCCATCTGGCTTGTCCTTTTTGTACCAGCATGTTGATGCTGATAAAGAGTCAGCATGTTGTAGGACCTCTGTATCAAGAACTTTGTTCTGCCACCTTATGTCAAGAAGTTTACGTAGTCAGCATAGGTGGAGATGGTTTAGCTAAGTTAAGTTGACAAGTTACAATTCTAACTAGCCAAATGAAATTAATTGCTACCGGTATTGATATTTTTTGTAGTCTTGCCTTAAGCTAAATTCAAACTGCAGATTTATTACTGAGACTGAGATATGTAGTTGAGTATATGTTTCAAAACAAGTTCCAAGATTTCTGTGACAATGTGCTACTCACTTAACCCTTTCCGCAGCAACAAATTGTATACCTTGTCCGTTGTGACTGGGTGTGGCACACCCATACACTTATTTTAATGGGAAAAAGGGTTTCTGGTGATTCCTGGCTCCTGGGTGGGTTACACCCATAGTCTTATATCACGGTACATGGCTCCCTTTATGTTATTTTCTTTTTTACAACGTGGCATGATTTAGTTACCTTGTAACCATTTCCCTTCACAGATCATGGAGTTTCTCCCATTGAAGAATTTGTTCTGTATATTAATGAAAAATGATACAAACAATAGCTGACTGCACCAACAGGGAAGACGAGAAAGTAAAAGAAAACAAATGGCAAGGGACTGATGCCATCTAAATGAAAGGTTTTATTGGCTGCCTACTACACACTCTTCACCTCAACAGAATTTCAGTGGAATTATTATTCAGCCCTATTGATGGAAATCCTCATTTTAGGGCAGCATTTTCATTGAAGAGATTCAACAAACTTCTGATTCATATTGGCTTTGACAACAAGGATACTAGATCAATCATTTCTTGTGAATCTTTGCTCCCAGAGGAGATGTATGAAAAGCATTCCTAAGTAATTTGGCAAGGTACATTTTTTCCCAGAATCCAGAGAGAACATCACAGTTGGTGAGCAACTGGCAACTGGTTGGTTTCTGAGGTCGTGCAGATTTATTCAATAAAATCAATATATGCCAAGCAAGCCAGACAAATATGGAATAAAAATCTTCTGGGCCAGTGAATCGTCTTTGAACTATCCTCTTAGAGGCTGCCCATATCTCGGCAAAGAAAATGCAAGTCCCTTGAACAACAGAGGCAGAGGCTAAGTAAAGTTCATTAAAAATGTGGCGCCTGCTCTCAATACTGACAATACCGTACTCAAAATGCCATAAAGTTAAAGCCTTCAAATTTTCAGCATAGGTATTTTATAATAAGCCATTTTCCATATTAATATTTTAACTAATGTATTAATCATATGCTGACTAAGTCATAATTAATTAACAATAATATAAATATAATTATAATAAATCTTTTAATTAGACTATAACTTATATTTTTTTTAAATTTATGGTTTCACGATTATTTATTGTATCTTTTTAAAGTGCAAATTTAAATGGAAAAAAACCCACATTTATTCATTTTAAAGACTAAAAAAAAAAGAAAAAAAAAAGAACCACATAACAGTACTAACTTGACATAGACCGGTCATAGACTAAATTACAATTTTAATTTGAGTCAGAGAGTAAACTGACCCACCTGTCCCTGATGGTCTATAAAATAAAAGTATTCTCTTGTTTTAGTATCGTGAGACTGGCCTTGTATATAATGTAAGTATTTTCTAGGGGAACAGCGTAAGTAACTGAACACGTGTGAGGATGTTTTTGAAAGACGATTCATATTTTAGTTATACAAAATAATATCGTAATCCCGTTACTGTTACACCTAACAACAAAGGAAAAAGTGTTGTTTACATCGGATATTACCTTCCGCGCATGCCTGATTCCCCCTTTCCTTTACAAATCTGTTATATTTATTTTGATTGGTGTTAGCCATTCGTAATGGCCAATAGATGAGTGTTTTATGAAATAGTGATCCACCATTTTCCTCTATCATATTTATCTATTGACTCAGATGGTAGAAACTAGTGAACAATTAACAGCTTATTATGATTACTCAGGTCTTCCTCTGATTAACTATAATAATGCCTTTATCAATATTCATCCGAGTTTAATGTAAACAATTCTTTACTAACAGGAAGAAGGCTTACATTATTTGGTCATTGAAATAAACATGACAACGACTAAAAAAGCCTGGAAGCTCCGTAAGTTTTTAGTTTTTGTCAACAAGTTCAAAATTGTGGTTGAAACTTTGGTAAATGAAGAAAATGCAGACACTTATTGGTGTCATGTTGTATCACACGGCCGCCTTCTTGGTTGCCACGACCCGTGAACTTTTTTAATTCACTGAACCGAACCCTAAATGTATCCCTAAGCCTAAGCCTAATAATGGGTGACTGCATTAGCTGAAACTTTTACTACTTATTACTTAGTCTTAGTCCTTAGTCTACTAAAAACTACTCCAATAATAAATGCAGTATTCTTAATATTATAAAATTTAAAAAAGTTAAAATGTTGGCCTAATTGATTTTGTACCTCGGATGTCTATATGACAACAACTACAATGATGCAACTCTATTGAATTGATTCCTTGGCCTTCATGCAATGCACTTATCGGTAAATTTGGAGAGATGTCGCCACATGGCCACCACCTTGGTTGACACGACCAGTTAATTCTGTCAATAAACCTAAAATAAATGTATCCCTAAACCTAACCTGAACCCTAATTCACTGCAACAATAATAAACATGCAAATGACATCATGGTGACATCTCACCCAATTAGCCCAATTATTATTATCGTTAATGTACAGTTAGAGGCATGGGCTTTCCAAGAGTTGTCTCACCCTAAATCTAAGCTTAAGATGACAAGATCAGCAGTTGGACCTAAATGAAGAGAATGATAACTTTCCTGTTCTTCACTGACTATTATAAGCGTTAAAGACATAATGTCATGTGATGATTGATACAGTTAAAATGAAATGATTTAAAATTTAATTTTCCATTAAGTTTTTTGTACTAAACTTCAACTAACAAGATTCAAGAGAATTAATCCTTGCTGATACTCCAAGATAAACACCAGAAAAAATATGTGCGCATGGTTAAAATAATAAAAGTGCTTTTTTTTTTTTATAGGTTGAAAATGAAATGCTTGTATGCTATGCTATTCATTTAAATAATGTCGCAATTAAACGTTTCAAGACAAAAATAAAAATATGAGGAAAAAAACTTATTGCATAAACACAGAGCTCAAATTTGAAATCTTTTAATTTTAAGAAATGGAACTATTGCTAGTAGTTGACCCTGAGGAACCTCTTTGACCTATTTACCATGGAAAAGATCGCATTTTAGCCCAGTTCTCACTACTTTTCCCAGTATACTGCTTCAGTGACTTCACTACATTACATAACTGTGACACACACTAACAATGACTATCTTATACTATAAAATATCATGGGAGTCATTGTGAGTTAGAATAGCTGAGTAGTGAAGACTGAGGATTGCTTTAAATTACTCTAAGTGAATTAATAACTGTGGACAACCCTTTTTGAGTGAGGAGTCTTTTCTATAAATTGTCTGCTAAGAATATATTTGAAGAGTGGGCGGGGTGGATTGTATAAAAATCATTCCTATAGATGGTGATAACAAGAGCTCCAATCCTTGTATTCAGGAGCTGTGTGTTGCAGATCACTGAACTAGCCATCAAACAAGTGTTCTTTTTCAATCCCTCGGTGTATAGTAATTAGTATTAGTATTGGCACAAAGAAATAGGCCCATGTTTTAACAAATTAAACTGGGTTACTTTGTCTGATCAGTATCAGTCTTACTCATATTTCTGGGCTGCTAATAAGTTATTATTTAATATTGAAATAGTCAATTTAAAAAAAAATGAAATTGTTTTTTCTCACTGGGAATTTATGTATTTTTATTTGTTAAAATTTGTCTTACTTCTACTAAGGACATTAAAATGTGTATGCTCTCTTTCATTTATGATAAACGGGACAATAAAGAATCTATATCCTCATTCAGTTTTTGCTAATTTCTTGTTTGACTTCTCCTTTAGAGGACTTCACTGCTCACACTGCAGATGTAAAATGCCTTGGCTTGGGCCACAAGTCAGGGCGGGTGATGGTGACTGGTGGGGAAGATCGCAAAGTTAACTTATGGTCGGTGGGCAAACCACACTGCATCATGGTATGTATATTTCAAAAAACATGTAAAAAAAAAAAGTAATCATCAAAAAATATCTGTAACTGTTTAGAATCTATCAAATTGTTGTAAAATTTGACATGTTTTTTGTTATGGGTTACCAATGTTTAAATTTTGAGTTCTAAATTCATGATAGTTTTAATATTTTATGGTGACACGATCAAGGTTTACATCTCATGTAACATGTTTAGTAGGTTTAGGCTTGCAATTAAACTCACCTCCATGTCAATAAATTAATTTCCAGAGTTTAACTGGGCACACAACGAGTGTAGAGTCAGTGAGGTTCGGACAAGATGAAGAACTGGTGGTTGCTGGCTCTCTCTCAGGTGCTCTCAAAGTGTGGGATCTGGAACAGGCTAAAAGTGAGTATGGAATTCTCAGTGTATTTAAATTAAATTAAACATTTAATACATCCCTTGGGTGCTGGGTGGCCGAGTGGTCTAGACTGAGTCAATCTCAAGTTCGTGGTCTGGAGTTCAATCCCCACCAAAGCCCCTCTAAGAGAAGGAAACTCTAAATTCAAAACCTGTAGATGGAGTCCCGTAGGCGGAATAACATCGGCACAATGAAACATTCCGACAACTCCTGCGATGCCACTTTTGCAAAGATGTATCAACATGATACCCCCTTGGGTTATTCAGCGGCGTGGAGAGAGGCCATTTGCTGTGTGTGAACCAGCTTATAATTCTAAAAAGAATAATCCCAGGATTTCATCACGGATGCCAGCAATACATCACTGTTCAATGAAGAATATATTTATAAAAAATAAACCCCGTTAAAAGTTACTCTTTTATTTTTCTGAGTAAAACACTAAGAAGTTTTCTTTTCACAGTTTTGCGAACACTGACAGGTCACCAGTCGGGTATCAAATCTTTAGATTTTCATCCTTACGGCAATTATGTGGCATCTGGCTCTATGGATTGTAATGTTAAGGTAAGCACATTATTCAGCTTGTATAAAGTGTACTATGAGACCAAAAAAACCTAATTATAGAATTACATAGCATTAATAATAGGAGATCTGTCGCTATGAGAGTTTGATTTTAACATGATTTATATCTCGAAGGAAATACTGAGTCTTGAGTTGCATTAATTACAAGCTGTCTGTTCTCTGTCACAACATTTTCTCTGGTTCCTGCCCTTCCTATCTTACTGAACTTCTTATTGTCTATTTACCCCTTCGAAAGCTTCATTCCTCCGCAGACGCACTTATTCTTTCTGTTCCCAGAACACTCACTAAAACATATGGTGAACAATCTTTCTCTTTCTGTGCCCCAAAACAATGGAATTCTTTCCCATTACACATCAGCAATATAATGACCATCTCAGCCTTCAAAACTGCCATCAAGATCCATCTCTTCAAACTGTACTAGTACTATACCGACTCATTCTCACCCACGATTCTGCTGGTTGCTGTCCATGGCTAGACCAGGGTAGATAGCACTTGGGTGGGTGAGGTCAACCTTTTTACCAATTGTTGTTAAAATGGATACGTTTCTGTAAATGCGCTATATAAAACCAGCTAATAATAATAATAATAATATCAGTTAGCAAATCCATTGCACCAAATAGCTTATTCTATTGGGCTTCTCCTTGCATGCTATTTGAGTGTCTGCCACCCTAACACATGAAACTAAAAACTCCATGAGACTTTAGCCCATCCATGAGACCTTAACCCGTCCACATCTAGTTGGCTATATATATAGTCTACACTATTTTATTTTACCGTGTTTGCCCCAATGACATGTATGTCAAAGGTGACACAAATAAATTTCAGTAGACATCCCACTGGTGGTTTACTATAGAAAGACAGAGGCTACATTTTTATTGGTTTTTCTGTTAGACCTTTCCTGAGATGTAAATTGGGTACATAAAATGATTATTTTTAATGCAGTTAGAGGTAAACAAAATAATAAGCTTGTTATGGCATTTCATAATTTTTCAGAATTATCATTTAATGTTATCTAAATATATTATTGTGATCATATAATTTTTTTATTCTAGTTATGGGATGTACGAAGAAAGGGCTGTATTTATACTTACAAGGTAAGTAAATAGATGCTTACGTAAAGTGAATGATGTTTACATCAAGTGAATAGGTGCTTACACTTAAATGGATATAAATGCAATTGATGTCTATTTCTGAGATGACACTATTCGTCTTACATGGTATTTCAATAAATTAATCTGCATTTTTAAAATTTCCCCCAGAGTCATACAAACTGTGTTAACTGTCTCAGGTTTACACCAGACGGTCAGTGGATTGCATCAGCCAGTGAGGACAACACAATTAAGGTGAATTTTAACACAGATGGTCCAATCATTAAAATAAATCATTGTTGCATTTCAGTTCTGGCAAACATTGTCCAAGCAGAAGTACAAAGCATAGAAACATAGGTGTCCTTCATTGATAGTAAACCATTTTCTTTCTCATTTTCGTGATTAGTTTTTCTTGCTTCCTCCAGATTTGGGATCTGACAGCCGGTAAACTTCTCACAGAATTGAAACTTCACAGAGGCCCTGTCAATGTTGTAGAATTCCATCCGTCTGATCTCTTGTTGGCGTCTGGAAGTAGTGACAAGTAAGTTGCTCATGTTCTCTGTATTGTTGTCATAAGAGTTGCATCTAAAAAATGTAGATACATAGATGTAAAAAATATTTCAAATGAGCCTTTACTTAAGCAGATGAGAAGTGAGAGGGTGATGGTCAAGCCATTGATAAGAAACTCCAATACAGAAATAGGTAACATTACAGAAAAATAACCAAGAGATGAAAGAGAAAATACACAAGTTAGATTTTTATGCCAAAGCTCATTAAGATAAAAAATACGATTCCTACTAATGTGTATATGGATTTTAAAAATCAAAAGGAAACAAACTCATAACTTAAATTGAAATAGCAAAGAATATCCCCAACACATTATCTCTAGGAGGCATGATTTTTGGGTTTGACAAAATAAAAACAAGAGTGGGGTGTGTCCAGACACACTTTTAAGACTTATTTAGCAGTTGATGAGAAAGTGTTTAAAAAAAAAAAAGGTTAAGTTCAACATTTCGTCACAATTTAGAAAAGCATTTTTAGAGCAAAGCAACAAAAGCTTTAATAAATTTTAAAAAAATGCAGTGAAAAGTTTAAAAAAAACCTCATAACTTAAAAAAGGGAATGATGTTAGGAAGAGGTTAATTATAGTTTATGGATAGTTAGTTAGTAATCATCTGACATTTGTTTAGACTAAAGACTTGCTTGTTATCCTTCTAGTGTAATTTAATCAAAGAAATTTGAGGCTGGTCATTGGTATAGTGAAAGTTTCTCTATTATTTTAGTCAAGTGTCTTTCCAAAATATCATTTTGTTTTACAGGACTGTCAAATTTTGGGACTTGGAAACATTCCAGTGTATCAGCAGTTCTGATTTAGATAAACACCCCATCAGGTAATCTTAGTGCTAACTGTGTGGTGTGTGTGGGAGAAAAAAGGGGGGGGTGTGGCTGTGTGGCTGTGTGTGGGGGGGGGGAGGGGGAGGGGAGAAATTACCTTCATTTTTAATGTTGTATAAACTATAAATTTGACATTTAAAATGTAAATTGAGTTTCTGTAAAGAACAGTTTATTTTTCTGTGCTAAAAGGGGGGGGTGTGGCTGTGTGGCTGTGTGTGGGGGGGGGAGGGGGAGGGGAGAAATTACCTTCATTTTTAATGTTGTATAAACTATAAATTTGACATTTAAAATGTAAATTGAGTTTCTGTAAAGAACAGTTTATTTTTCTGTGCTAAATTTTATGTTACGAGCATTAGAAATAAAACAGAACTCTAGCAAACACAATGGTAGTACTTGCTATATTATAAAACAAAAATGACTTTGGAACGTGTTAGAACTAGCTGAATTATAAGACAAAAATGACTTTTGGCCTGGTCGACGACTCTAGTTGTTACTCTTTGCTGGTCGACCACTCTAGTTGTTACTCTTTGATGCTCATATTTTTGTTCTCTGGTTTCCCAGGAGTATAACCTTCCACCCTGAAGGGACGTGCCTGTACAGTGCCTGTGGGGACAGTCTAAAAGTTTATGGTTGGGAACCATTTGTGTGCTATGATGTTGTTCCCATAGCATGGTCTGAAGTTGGTGATATGGCCATTGCAAATTCACAGTTGGTGGGTACATGCATTCTTTGACACAGTTGGTGGATACATGCATTCTTTGACACAGTTGGTGGGTACATGCATTCTTTGACACAGTTGGTGGGTACATGCATTCTTTGACACAGTTGGTGGGTACATGCATTCTTTGACACAGTTGGTGGGTACATGCATTCTTTGACACAGTTTGTGGGTACATGCATTCTTTGACACAGTTGGTGGATACATGCATTCTTTTAACATTTTCCACACAGTTGAACAGCTTCTGATTTACTTTTTTTTGTATTGATTCTAAGTAATCAACAAGTCAACTTTTAGACAGAAGTATTTTGGCTCAAGACAGAGGGTATTGCTAACTACGCAGCCCTCCAGCATTCTGCAGTCGCTATCTTGTTTTTGCTCTGATTAAAAAATGTAAATACTTATATTTTGGGATAGGACAAATTCAGCTGCCCCTTGAGCTTATCAAAGTTCAGACCTGTAGCAATAGAGAAAAGCATAATAAGAAGCTTTTTGAATGTGTTTAAAGAAACTAAATTATATAAAGATATTGTTCATTTGAAGTTGATAGATTGGGTAGATTAAAGGAGATAATTCAGTCATAAGACAAGAACTGTTTGAAAGAGCATTGTCGTATGCCTCTGTGTGATAACTTGGAACATAAAGAAATAAGTTAGCACAGGGTCACCCACTTCACTGGCCTACCAAACCTGCTTTAAAGCTCTCTCTGCATGAGTCAATCCAGTTATGAAAGTCTGCCATAGCTGGCCCTTTACTTGTTCACCAGATGATAAGTTATGGGGGCTGTCTTACGGCCAGATGATAAGTTATGGGGGCTGTCTCCCGGCCAGATGATAATTTATGGGGGCTTTCTTCCGGCCAGATGATAAGTTATGGGGACTGTCTCCCGGCCAGATAAGTTATGGGGGCTGTCTCCCGGCCAGATGCCCCAAAGTATTTTTCCAGGCTGGGGTTATTATTATCAACCTGATGGAGAGTAGTTAGTACTATTTGTGTCAGAATATTAACATCTCAATTTGACTATTCAACAGATAACTGCTTCGTACTCCAAGACCAATGTCTCAACATTTGTTGTAGATTTAAATGTAAGAGTTCACTTTTTTAAATATATTCTTTGTGTCATAACTTCAGAACCATTACACTTTACCCCAGCAGACAATAAGATTTCAATTATCCTGATCTAGTGGTCATTTGGGCATGTAGATGTCAAATAAAGACAACATTTTGTGAATAATCTTAAAGGGGTTCTCAAAACCAACTTAGCTTACAATTGCAGTGTTTTCACTCCTTGTAACTATTTCTTTCTGGAACGGCACCCAGTTATGCCCAGTTTTGGTTTTCTCCAATAACAGTTTAAGCAATAGTTATAAAACTCTAGTCCCCTAAGACAGTTTAAGCAATAGTCTTAGGGGACTAGAGTTAAAGCTTTCTTAAAGCTGGTTACCATTGCATCTGATCATTTTAACAATCCTACAGAAAGTTGCTCCGACAGGGGTTGTTAGCAGATCTGATGACACTAAAGCACCAAACAGAATGACAAGGTAAGGCTTTTATCAACATCAAGTCAATTCTACCTGGGGATGTACAATTCAAATTTACCTTATAGGCAGCTATTCTTAGGGGGAACAAAACAACTCATGAAATGGCTAACCTAAATAACTTCAGCGTGTTGTTCAAGTCGATATAAATGTAGGTATTAAAGGGGTCATTTAGAAAGCAGGCCCGGTTCACCTTATGATTTTGGCGTATGGTGTATGAATTTGAGATGCTTTTTATGTCTGTAAGCTGAGAGCTTTCATAACTATGATTTTATCATTTAAAAAAACAACTTTTTTCGGTTGTAAGTTTGACCTCCTTTCTGTATCTGGTGGTCAATGGATCGAGAAATGCGATTGGTTGTGGACCATCCATAATGTACGCACTGAGGGTGGAGATGGGGTGGGTGGTGTTGACTAAGGAGTGTATGGATGTACATGGGAGTTGGTTAGGGATAGTTGTCTAAAGGCTATCAAATAAGACAGCCCTTTTTGTAATGATGGTTATGATGGGCATATTGTTGCTTTGTGTTTTCACAATGAACTCGCTACAGACGGCAAACAGTAATATTTAGAGTAGTCACCCTACTGACAAATTTAGTCAACATTAACGTTTGTTTCCTTCCGTTCTGTATGCCTTAAGTTTGTGACCTAATTATTTTGTTCTGATGCTCAACTGTGATAGCAAAAATGGAGAAAACTACGGATTTTTCATTTTTATTTATGTATTTTCAACTGCTCCACACAGCAGGGTTAGATTTTACAAATAAGATATTGTAAGTGGAATTTTGAAATCTATTTCTAGAAGTCACAAGGGAGCTGTAAAATTTTGATTTTTCAACTGGTTCAAGTTCTCCTTTTCTCTTCACCCAATACAGCTTGCTCTGGTTATTATGACTATAATATGTAAACAGAAAATAAAATCAGGCTCCTAGTCTTAATCGGGACCCACCACATTAAATACCATGGCCCGCAAGGTGTATCACCAATCAACTTATTTCTTCATTCAATTAATGATTATTTTCACATTTGAAGTATATATAAATTATTTTTAGTGACAGTATGTGTTATTTCAGTGTACTTGCCACTTTTTGAGACTTATTTAAAAATAAAAATTGATTGAAAAAATTAATCTCAAATTTAAATAAAAATTATAAAACAGCAAGTACTATAATATAAATAAAGACGGCTGGGTAGAGGGAAGCTTACTTGACACAAGCCTTACCACTAAGAATGATGTGTAGAATGTTGCCAAACTATATTCAGGTATATGCAACAATGAATGACTGGATTTTGAATTTATACACAAATAATAATACTACTCCCACGCCACTTTTCCTCTGGTGACTTCTATCTAAGCATTCGTTTTTGCAAAAGTCTGTTTAGTCAAACTCTAAGCATCTGCTCCCTCGTACATCCCTTTCGTAGTCATTTTATGCCTTCTTTTTCACGTAAACCTTTTAAACCTATCAGATAAACCACTGCTATAAATTTTTCAGCTCGAGCGGAAGAAGAAGCTTCATAACAGACAGACCACCCACTTCTTCTTCACGAGAGGCAAAGTAAGCAATCTGTTTCATATTAGCTGTCTGGGAGACCACATGGGTTGTCAACTCTCATTGAATGTGATTTTTTTCATAGGAGCAAAATAATAGTTATAACGTCTTGATGGCATATTTTATCTATCAAAATATATAAGAATATAAAATGAAGGCTTTAGCATCATCTTAACTATTTTTAACTGCCCCCTCCATCATGTTACATTACAAGATAATGAATAGTATTGTACATTGAAGTGGATTGTAGCATATTGCTGTGTACTGTTTCTTGACCTCCATCATACCTCAGCTTTACCAGCATTCCAAAACTTTCCAGTGAACCAAAACGTTCAGACACACCTCCGGACCCAAAGGGACCAGACAAAAGTGACAACACGGAGGAGGACAGCATGACATCACAAGCCGATATACAGAACCAAGATGACTATCGGAGGATATTTAAGGAAAACTCTAAAAATCGTGAGTGGCATCTGCAGTTCTGTGTGTTTAGGTTACTAATTTTTCCATATCATCCCCAGTAAAAAAAAATTGAGCACATTTTTTGGTTTTGACATTTAACTTTCCTAATTACTGTTCCCTGTTGTTATCCCCCCCCCCCCCCCCCCCCCCCGCTCTTGTAGATGACAGGTAACTAGGCTTTCTCTGTACTGAAATTTGTTCATCTCATTGCACTTACAACTTATGCAGGAAATTATAATGAAATAAATTAGTCTTATGTTAGCCCTTCCTTGTTTGCTCTTTGTTCATTGGAGGAATTTTTTGAACTGTCTACCAGAGTTATGCAAGTCAGTTGATGGATTTGACCTTTTCTTGTGCATTTTTATAAACTTTACTTTTAATCTACGTCCGCCTCGTGGGGGTGAGAATATATTAATTTATGTCACCATGACTTGGGATAATCACATTGAAAATGTTAAGTATGCCAGAGATAGTAAGCTGTGATGAAAGAGATGGTAAGCTGTCATAAAAGATATAGTAAGCTGTGATGAAAGAGATGGTAAGCTGTCATAAAAGATATAGTAAGCTGTGATGAAAGAGATGATAATCTGTCATAAAAGATATAGTAAGCTGTGATGAAAGAGATGATAATCTGTCATAAAAGATATAGTAAGCTGTGATGAAAGAGATGGTAATCTGTCATAAAAGATATAGTAAGCTGTGATGAAAGAGATGGTAATCTGTCATAAAAGATATAGTAAGCTGTGATGAAAGAGATGGTAATCTGTCATAAAAGATATAGTAAGCTGTGATGAAAGAGATGGTAATCTGTCATAAAAGATATAGTAAGCTGTGATGAAAGAGATGGTAATCTGTCATAAAAGATATAGTAAGCTGTGATGAAAGAGATGGTAATCTGTCATAAAAGATATAGTAAGCTGTGATGAAAGAGATGGTAATCTGTCATAAAAGATATAGTAAGCTGTGATGAAAGAGATGGTAATCTGTCATAAAAGATATAGTAAGCTGTGATGAAAGAGATGGTAATCTGTCATAAAAGATATAGTAAGCTGTGATGAAAGAGATGGTAATCTGTCATAAAAGATATAGTAAGCTGTGATGAAAGAGATGGTAATCTGTCATAAAAGATATAGTAAGCTGTGATGAAAGAGATGGTAATCTGTCATAAAAGATATAGTAAGCTGTGATGAAAGAGATGGTAATCTGTCATAAAAGATATAGTAAGCTGTGATGAAAGAGATGGTAATCTGTCATAAAAGATATAGTAAGCTGTGATGAAAGAGATGGTAATCTGTCATAAAAGATATAGTAAGCTGTGATGAAAGAGATGGTAATCTGTCATAAAAGATATAGTAAGCTGTGATGAAAGAGATGGTAATCTGTCATAAAAGATATAGTAAGCTGTGATGAAAGAGATGGTAATCTGTCATAAAAGATATAGTAAGCTGTGATGAAAGAGATGGTAATCTGTCATAAAAGATATAGTAAGCTGTGATGAAAGAGATGGTAATCTGTCATAAAAGATATAGTAAGCTGTGATGAAAGAGATGGTAATCTGTCATAAAAGATATAGTAAGCTGTGATGAAAGAGATGGTAATCTGTCATAAAAGATATAGTAAGCTGTGATGAAAGAGATGGTAATCTGTCATAAAAGATATAGTAAGCTGTGATGAAAGAGATGGTAATCTGTCATAAAAGATATAGTAAGCTGTGATAAAAAAGGTAGATTTTATGGAACTTAATTTCATATATTAATTTAAACTCAAGCTCTTGAAAAAGATATTTTTAAGCTGTCTTTCAACTTGAATGTATTTCATTATCACAGCTTCTTTGAAAATTGTATGTCATCAACAATAGGGCATATTAAGACATTATCCCAGGTGCAGCTTTAGTTTTGAAAACTTTTTTCTGCTCTTGTTTTACTTTGCTTACTTACATTTACTGCACGAACTTAACTAAAAGATGGAACTTACCTATGGTCTCCCCTACATATAATCTTGTTTCACTTTGATGTGCCTGGACATTGACTCACTGTGTTTAGTCTGGAAAATTTTAATTTTTTGGTTGGTCAGAGAACAGATTGTTGGCGTTTGTACATGTGTGGTCCAATCTCTAAGTATATGTGGCTATTGTGGTCCAATCTCTAAGTATATGTGATCATTGGGGTCCATTCTCTAAATATATGTGGTTATTGTGGTCCAATCTCTAAGTAATATGTGATCATTGGGGTCCAGTCTCTAAGTATATGTGGTAATTGTGGGCCAGTCTCTAAGTTTATGTGATCATTGGGGTCCAATCTCTAATATGTGATCATTGTGGGCCAATCTATCATCTGCTATCATTGTGGTACAATCTCTAATCCCCTGTGATCATTGCGATCCAATCTCTATTACTCTAATTATCCGTGATCATTATTTCATTTGAATGTTTGAATGACATGAATTACTAGCTACTAAGATTTTAAACCCAGCCTCTAAAATTGTCACTTGGCCCCTAAATCTTGTGTTTAAAGTTACCAGCATTGCATTTTTTTTCCAAATGTTAAGTTCATGCTGAGAATCTCTTATTAGCCTACTGTTTACTTTGGTTGACTATTGGCACTGTAGTTTTTTAAACAATATCATTTTGTGTGTCAACTATTGAGTGTTTTTGTTGGCTTTGTGTTTGATAAAGGCATGTATTACTGTAGCGTTGCATGTTTCAGCCAATGGAAGAGCTAGAGTGGAGCCATTCCAGCCCCCCCTGGAAGATGACAGTGAGTATACAAACTTAGCTAGGGATTGTAGTTAACATTATTTGGGGAGAGAACCATTACAGTGGACACAATTCTTCTCAATCAAGGATTTCATATGTTATGAATCCAGGGGCACATAATTTCTAGTTAGAGATAATCGTAATTGCAGTCAGTTGTAATTCAAGTAATACTTGTTTTGTTTTATGTTATAAGTAACCTATACAGTGTTATATAAAGTGGTGCAGGTCCAGTTAAATGATCCCTATAGTATTCTCTGACAGAGTGGTACCTCTCCAGGGAGCCTCTAGCAGACCTGTTTACTCTTACGATTTTGGCGTACAATGTACAATTTTGAGGTGTATACATTATATATGCTGTATGTTTATTTTAACTATAAATATAACGTATGTAACGATTTTGTGATGATATTGTACGATTTTAAGAGTTTGAGGGTAAACAGGTCTGCTCTAAACAGGTCTGCTCTAAACAGGTCTGCTCTAAACAGGTCTGCTCTAAACAGGTCTGCTCTAAACAGGTCTGCTCTAAACAGGTCTGCTCTAAACAGGTCTGCTCTAAACAGGTCTGCTCTAAACAGGTCTGCTCTAGGGCCTCAGCTAATGAGGGAGCCATTTCAGAATGACTAACCCATTTCTGTAGATTGAATAGAAGTCTTCCTCATGTCCACACACAATCCCTAAGAAGGTCACCGACGAAGGGGCATTTGTTAGATATGGTCGGGTTTTAGTGTCAGAATCTTTGAGTGATTAGTGGCTGATGTACCAAGTGTTTGCATGCGTTCAATGTAGGCAACTGATATTTGTTACTGCTTAGTGGTCAATCCCTTTGTGCTTTTGATTTAACCATGTCCACACTATTCATCTGGACTTGTCACCCTTAACTCTACTAAACAAATCATTGACATTGATTGAATAAATGCACTGTTTATGTCACTTAGACTTAGACAGTCAGTGACATCTTCTTACCCACCTAGTCAATTAGTGAAATCCTCTAAATAACTTAGTAAATGCTACTGTCATTGTCAGTTGGTCAGTAAACACTACTGTCAGTTAGTTAGTAAACACTTCTGTCACTGTCAGTAAACACTACTGTAACTGTCGGTAAACACTACTGTCACTGTCAGTAAACACTACTGTAACTGTCGGTAAACACTACTGTCACTGTCAGTAAACACTACTGTCATTGTCAGTAAACACTACTGTCATTGTCAGTAAACACTACCTTCAATGTCAGTTGGTCAGTAAACACTGCTGTCATTGTCAGTTGATCAGTAAACACTACTGTCACTGTCAGTTGGTCAGTAAACACTACCGTCACTGTCAGTTAGTCAGTAAACACTACTGTCATTGTCAGTTGGTCAGTAAACACTACTTTCACTGTCAGTTGGTCAGTAAGACTACTGTCATTGTCAGTTGGTCAGTAAGCACTACCTTCACTGTCAGTTAGTCAGTAAACACTACTGTCATTGTCAGTTGGTCAGTAAACACTACTGTAACTGTCATTAAACACTACTGTCATTGTCACTTACTAAACACTACTGTCAGTCAGTAAACACTACTGTCATTGTCAGTTAGTAAACACTACTGTCATTGTCAGTTGGTCAGTAAACACTACCTTCACTGTCAGTTAGTCAGTAAACACTACTGTCATTGTCAGTTAGTCAGTAATCACTACTGTCAGTTAGTCAGTAATCATTACTGTCACTGTCAGTTAGTCAGTAAACACTACGGTCACTGTCAGTTAGTCAGTAAACACTATGGTCACTGTCAGTTGGTCAGTAAACACTGCTTTCCTTGGTCAAAACTTGTTCAGTTTCTTTCACACACTATTCCCTGCCATTTTATGTGATAAACTTGCCAGTATTTACCCAGATCTCCCATTGTATTCCCCAGGTCCAGAACCAGTGAAAGTTGTGCCTGGTCCTGCAGTGAAGAAAGAAATTTCCCCCAGGATTAAACCAGTGCCACAGAAAGTGCCTGTGAAAGAATCTGTCTCAAGTTCTGTCCAAGCTTCTGATTTCCTACCAGTGAGTATGACCACGGAATTTAGAGAGAGTTCTCCAGGTTGAACTACTTATTCAACACTTTCAAGAGGCTCTTAACATTTATAATATAACCCCAAAACAAATTCAATAAATAGCTCTTATATCCACAAAACAAATCCAGTAAATAAATCTAATATCCACAAAACAAATGCAGTCACTAACTCTTGTATCCATAAAACAAATCCAGTAAATAACCTTTATATCCACAAAACAAATCCAGTAAATAACACTTATATCCACAAAACACATCCAGTAAATACGTATATCCACAATCAGATCCAGTAATTAATACTTATATTCACAAAACACTTATATTACGTCCTATGTCCACCCACCCAATTATCCCATCATAGAGTAAAACAGTTTATTACACAATGTGCAAAATGTGGTAGCAGAAGAAATAATTGTCTCATAAGACAAAAAAAAGGCAAATAATTTGTATTTAATAATATTTTATGCACCTATGATGCATATTTTATTTTATATACTTATGGTGCATATTTTATAACAGTGAGCTACAAAAGTAGACTGTCAATGAAAATTTCTGAGGTGTACAAAAAGCTTTTAGATTGTGTCTCATTGAATCGTTATTTCACCGCCAGTTCACCGTCAGTTCATCGTCACAAATGGCATAAGCAAAGAGATTGAATCTGTTATTGAATCTCAGTTATTTGCAATTCATTGTTTTTAAAATTTGAATGTTGTCGCAATACACATGTCATGGCAGTACACAAGTTGTGGCAATACACACATTGTGGCAATGCACACGTTGTGGAAATACACATGTGGCAATACACACGTTGTGGCAATACACAAGTTGTGGCAATACACACATTGTGGCAATACACACGTTGTGGCAATACACACGTTGTGGCAATACAAATGTTGTGGCAATACATATGTTGTGGCAATACACATGTTGTGGCAATACATATATTGTGGCAATACACACGTTGTGGCAATACACATGTTGTGGCAATACATATGTTGTGGCAATACACATGTTGTGGCAATACACACGCAAGAAGGAAACTCTAAGGCAGGCCTGCACAACTCAAAATGTAAGACAGGCCGTAATACCATATGAAAAACTTGTGCGGGCCGAAAGAAAATTGGACGGGTGAAAGTTATTAAGAAAATAATAAAGAACATTTCATTACTTTGCGGGCAGCCAAGTGAGCGCTGGCATGGCCCCGGGGCTGAATGTTGTGCAGGCCTGCTCTATGGAGATGTGTGATCAAACAGTACAAAATTGGGAAAAAATCCGAAAATGAAAAACTACTCTTGTTAATTTATGAGCATACGAACCATTTGAGAAGCCATTTTAGATCTATGAATTATAGTATTATAGTGGGTATCAAAATGGAGAATATTTAGAATGTTTTTATTGTTGCAATGTTGACTCCAAATCAATATTAAGTGTTAAAATGGAAGTGCATTGTTCATTTCTTTGGAAGTGCATTGTTCATTTCTTTGGAAGTGCATTGTTCATTTCTTTGGAAGTGCATTGTTCATTTCTTTGGAAGTGCATTGTTCATTTCTTTGGAAGTGCATTGTTCATTTCTTTGGAAGTGCATCGTTCATTTCTTTGGAAGTGCATCGTTCATTTCTTTGGAAGTGCATCGTTCATTTCTTTGGAAGTGCATCGTTCATTTCTTTGGAAGTGCATCGTTCATTTCTTTGGAAGTGCATTGTTCATTTCTTTGGAAGTGCATTGTTCATTTCTTTGGAAGTGCATTGTTCATTTCTTTGGAAGTGCATTGTTCATTTCTTTGGAAGTGCATTGTTCATTTCTTTGGAAGTGCATTGTTCATTTCTTTGGAAGTGCATTGTTCATTTCTTTGGAAGTGCATTGTTCATTTCTTTGGAAGTGCATTGTTCATTTCTTTGGAAGTGCATCGTTCATTTCTTTGGAAGTGCATCGTTCATTTCTTTTAGCGCTTGATTTTCATTGGATTTTCCCAGAAACAAAAAGCACCAAGTGATTTAAGTGAGCCTGACGTTATGGACATGTTGACCAAAGGTCACAATACGATGATCATGGTTTTACAACAGAGAAGTCGCAACCTGCAGGTGGTCAGAGCCATGTGGACATCAGGGAACACCAAGGTAACTTTATCCAATATGTCAATGTTCAATTTGGAGGCTGTCTGTGGCCAGATATGGCAAAAGTGTTTAGATGAAAAACTGTTAGATAAGTTTTGTACTTTAATTAAATTTTTTAAAACAATATTTAATTTAACAAACATTGTTCATAATTTGAAATGGTAATTGTATTGAATGATGACTTGATAGAGCTTATTCCAATGAGTGTAAATCTCATGTTGTGTTGACCCCTTCAGTTTCTATTAGAAGGACTGTGCATGCACATCATTTATATTTAACAAGAAGTGGCTGGTATAGGCCATGTGCTACGGCATTACTAGTCATGCTTATACACTGATGAGACATGTGGCGGTAGTTCACATGGTTATTCTTATACACTTGTCAGACATTTGTTTATGGGAATGAACAAAGTTAAATGGGTTTTAAATATAACTTTTGGGAAATAAAAAAATGTTTAAGAATAATAATAAAATGTCCAGCTTGTATGCATGCTGTTGTTTATTCCAGACTGCTATAGATTCTGCTATCTCAATGAAGGACATGGCTGTTATGGTGGATCTTCTGAACATCATCAACTCCAGGGCGTAAGTTGGTCAACATTTGCCGTGTTATTTGAATTTTTTTCTTACTGTGTCCTTTTTTGGAAAGCAAATGAATGTTGGAATGGGGCGACAGATTATTGTGTCATTCTGTAGTTTTTAAATCTGAAAACTAAATCAGAATTTGACCTGATTAAGAATGAGTTGCATTGTTATTTAATTCACTGAAGTCAATTTCAAAAATAGGAAATTACACTCAACTGTTTGAAACTTTGAAATAAAAATAGTAAAACTAATTTAAAAAAAAAAAATCAAATAAACCTGTCGTCAGCGTAAACAAACAAAAAAATTTGTAAAATTTGGTCCGGCACCGTGAAAGGGCTAAATGTATATGATATTTTTTGTTTATATAATCGCATGACCGGACGGACACATATGAGTTGTTATAATACAGACCGAACCAAAGCTTCACATCTGTATACTTTCTTGTCTGCACACAGATCTCTGTGGAATCTGGACCTGTGCTGTTTACTACTTCCACAACTCAAGGAAATCATGAATAGCAAATATGAAAGGTAAACAATCTTCATTTATTTTGGTGTTATTTTTCTTATTGTGGTTACCCAAGGTCACCTAGCTAACATGGACATGAAGATATATACAAACACACTTATAATCTATCCTCATCTGCAATGTACAATTGTTCATTTCAATAACTTGTACTTTAAGGGGTGAGCTGCCGGTCAGCAATGACTGCTTTATAATTTTAACCCTTTCCCCCTTGGAGTCGCCGATCGTCGGTTGGGCCTACCAATAGACACTTAAAGTTGCTGAGCGTCGCTGATTTTCTGTTGTTTCGCTGCAGAGCCAATCCAACTTTTTCAGTAGTTATTTTATGCTTTCCTAAACCATCAAATAAAAGAGCTATAAATATGCTTCCTTTTTGTCTTTCTTTGATTATTTTTGGGCGAGTCTTGTGTTTTTTGATAATTTTTTTTAAATTTAGTGTTTTTGTGGATTTCTTTTTCAAAATGGATGATGTTCTAAGGATGTTTAGGGATGCTACAGGGTACAATTATGATGGGAATACATTAGATTTAGGGGATAATAATGAAATTGATAAAGGTGAAAGTGATGTTAATGTTCCAATTGAACAGTTTGACCTTAGTGACACGGATAATGATACTGATAATGAGTCCGATGCTGCTGTAGACCCAGACAACATAGACCCAATAGGTCCAAACATCGTAGGCCAGTGGGATAACATTACAGATGTTGTGGTCAGGGAATTTATTGCAGATAGTGGCCCTAAACATGAATTAGAGTCAGATGCCGAGCCATTTGACTTAAGTCTGTTACTACAGGAAGACTTTTATATAACAGTAGTAAACCGAACAAATCTGTATGCTGAACAATGTCAACAAAGGGCTGCTAAAGTGGACAAATATTGGAAGCCAGCAACAGTTGTTGAAATAAAACTGTTGTTTCACATTTATATAATTATGGGTATACATGTTCTATCAGAATACTCTGACTACTGGTCAACAGATGATGGCCTCCATGTCCAAGGGGTGGCTTCATGTATGAGTAAATCACGCTACGAGAAGCTGTCACAATACTTACATCTAAGCGACTCATCTCTAAATCCTCCCAGAGGCCAAGAAGGCCATGACCCCCCTTCATAAAGTTAGACCACTTGTAGAACTCATAAAAGCAAATTCAGCCTCCTGTTTTACCGCAGGCGAGAACATAAGTTTCGATGAGGCAATGATAGGTTACAGTGGGAGGCTGGCATTTAAACAGTATATCAAAGGGAAACCTAACCCCTGGCGCATTAAGGTTTGGTGTGCTGCCGATTCATCTACAGGGCAACTTCTTGATTTTAATATATATACTGGAAAGGTGAAAGATGACATGCCTCACGGAAATGGACATTATGTTGTTTCTAAGCTGGGGGAAAGATTTTTATATAATTATCACCACTTCTTGTTTGATAATTATTTCTCATCGATTCAATTAGCTCAGGATCTGTTGGCAAAGGATATTTATTGTTGCTCAACAATAAGGCCGAATAGAAAAGGATGGCCATCAGAATTTAAAGCGTCAAAAATAAAAAAATTGAAAAAAGGAGACATTCAAGTCAGGCAAAATGGGAATCTTGTGGCCACAGTATGGAAGGACAAAAGATGTGTTACGCCGCTAAGCACTAACACTGCTCCAGGGACGTCCACAGTTTCACGTCGTGCCCCAGGAGGTTGGTATGAAGTGACTATTCCTACTGTTGTGGATGTTTACAATAAATCCATGGGGGGTGTGGACAAATTGGATCAATTGTGGTCCTACTATCCAGTAAGAAAAAAATCTGTAAAGTGGTGGAGATAAATATTTTGATTTCTCCTTCAGATTGCCATTGTCAATAGTTGGATCATGTACTCCAATTCTCACAGACCACATCCAAAAAAAACCACTCTGTCCCATAAGGAGTTTCGCTTAAGCCTCAGCTCATCTTTGCTGAAAGGGAACATCAGCCGGAAGAGAAAACCAACAAGTCAACCAGCTTCTCAAGGAGTAGGGACTGCTGATTTGCTTGAGCACCAGCTGACAAGGATGGTTGGGAATAAACGTGCTTGCCACTTCTGTTCAGTTAATAAACAGTTTGGAAAAAGAAAGAGGGCACATGTGACTGTTTATGGATGTTATTTGTGCCAAGTTAGACTTTGTAAAGGAGAATGTTTCTCAAAATTCCATGCTAACTTAATGTCAACTTCTGTCCCCAGCACTTCTAGTCAAAATTAAACATTTCTTTTGTTTTTTTTTTTTAGTCTTTTTTTTTTTTGTTATAAGAAATTTTATGTAATATTGAACCTTGTCCATATTTCATGTATTTCCAAAGTTATACTTTAATTGCTTTAATAGTTGTTTTTTTTTTAATTTTTAAAAATTGGATTTTACAGAGTTATGCCCCTTTTATTTTTTTTTTTTTTTTTTTTTAGTCTTTTTTTTTTTTGTTATAAGAAATTTTATGTAATATTGAACCTTGTCCATATTTCATGTATTTCCAAAGTTATACTTTAATTGCTTTAATAGTTGTTTTTTTGTGAATTTTTAAAAATTGGATGTTACAGAGTTATGCCCCTTTTCTCCAGGAAAGCCTGTTTGTGGCTCAGCATTGGCCCAAGGGCGAAAGGGTTAAGTAACTTGCTTTTCCAATAATTCTCGTCGACCCCCTCCCCCTTTTTTCCAGCCATGTGATTACAGCAGCCAATTCCATCAAGTTGGTACTGAGGAACTTTGGCGCTCTCATTAAGGCTAATATGGAGGAGCCACCATCATCAACTGTGGATATCTCAAGGGAGGAAAGGTCAGAGTTTATACTGCAGTTGTAGTCATAAAATTTAATATTCTGCTCTTACTAGTGCATTTATTTTATTGGAATAAAATAGGTTATGTCTCAAAGAACTCAAAGTTTGGCACGGTACTAAGTACAACAAATGACATTATACAACAAATGACATTATACAACAAATGACAAACAACAAATGACATGATTGGTAATCAGTACACGTAACATTATTGATACTTACTACAAGAAGTGACACAGTCTGAGTTCAGTATAAATCATAATAAATGACATGATTGGTAATTAAGTACAAATGACAGCCTGAGTTCAGTATGAATAACATGATTATAATCAAAGTACAAATGTAATCAAAGTACAAATGGCACAGTCTGAGTTCACTATAAGTAACAAGATAACTCTTATTGTAGTCATCAGAATATTTTTCATTTCACTTTAACTTTAGTTTATAGGCAAAAAGTTCAAAGTCTGACAATCAGGATGAGAATGCCTTTGTTCTAAGAGCTGAAATCTCTAGTCTGACCAATAGTTTGGTTGGTTATGTTTAGTCACCAGCATCGTGCTAAAAACATCGTCATCATTATTGCACTACCTGGGAAAATTGGTCATTTCTGCCGTTACATCGATTGGTTTGTAGAGTTAAAAAAGATCTGCTTGTCATGTTAACATTTCATATAAATACTTTAAATACCTTATTTTTCACGGCCTTATCTTGTTTACAGACACAAGAAATGTCTGGCCTGCTACACCATCCTGAGCTCCATTAAAAGTACGATTCAGTCAACGCACACATCAGTCACAGCAAAACTGGCCGGAGTATTTAGAGAAATTATGCTTCTTATGGTCAGCTTAGACTGATCATCGAATGAGACTAGACAAAAATTCAAAAATGGTGTGTGTGTCTGTGTGTTATGGGGAGAAATGCCTGTGTTGTGTTGTGTGAGAATGTTAGTTTCTTTGTCCTCTAAGATTTTGCTTGTCATGAATGGAGCTGAATAATACTTTAAATTGTTTGGGCACATTTAAAAAAGTCAAAAAAAAATGTTAATGAAATTTTGTTTAATGCCCAAACCAATCTGGCATATTTTAAATTTCTTGATTTCTTTTATCAAGTAGCTGATAAGAGTCAAGATTGTATATACATGACTTACTTCAAAGAACAAAATATCAATAGCTAATCAAATATTTTTTGATGGCAAAATTATATGTTGCTTTGTCAGTGAGAATTTTTTGATTTGCTGAAATTTTTCTGGTTTTATAGTGGCACACACCCAAGGGCCGCCACTGATTCTATAGTGGCACACACCCAAGGGTCGCCACTGGTTCTATAGTGGCACACACCCAAGGGTCGCCACTGGTTCTATAGTGGCACACACCCAAGGGTCGCCACTGGTTCTATAGTGGCACACACCCAAGGGTCGCCACTGGTTCTATAGTGGCACACACCCAAGGGTCGCCACTGGTTCTATAGTGGCACACACCCAAGGGTCGCCACTGGTTCTATAGTGGCACACACCCAAGGGTCGCCACTGGTTCTATAGTGGCACACACCCAAGGGTCGCCACTGGTTCTATAGTGGCACACACCCAAGGGTCGCCACTGGTTCTATAGTGGCACACACCCAAGGGTCGCCACTGGTTCTATAGTGGCACACACCCAAGGGTCGCCACTGGTTCTATAGTGGCACACACCCAAGGGTCGCCACTGGTTCTATAGTGGCACACACCCAAGGGTCGCCACTGGTTCTATAGTGGCACACACCCAAGGGTCGCCACTGGTTCTATAGTGGCACACACCCAAGGGTCGCCACTGGTTCTATAGTGGCACACACCCAAGGGTCGCCACTGGTTCTATAGTGGCACACACCCAAGGGTCGCCACTGGTTCTATAGTGGCACACACCCAAGGGTCGCCACTGGTTCTATAGTGGCACACACCCAAGGGTCGCCACTGGTTCTATAGTGGCACACACCCAAGGGTCGCCACTGGTTCTATAGTGGCACACACCCAAGGGTCGCCACTGGTTCTATAGTGGCACACACCCAAGGGTCGCCACTGGTTCTATAGTGGCACACACCCAAGGGTCGCCACTGGTTCTATAGTGGCACACACCCAAGGGTCGCCACTGGTTCTATAGTGGCACACACCCAAGGGCCGCCACTGATTCTATAGTGGCACACACCCAAGGGCCGCCACTGGTTCCATAGTGGCACACACCCAAGGGCCGCCACTGGTTCTATAGTGGCACACACCCAAGGGCCGCCACTGGTTCTATAGTGGCACACACCCAAGGGCCGCCACTGATTCTATAGTAAAACACACCCAATGGCCGCCACTGGTTCTATAGTGGCACACCCCCAATGGCCGCCACTGGTTCTATAGTGGCACACACCCAATGGCCGCCACTGGTTCAGAAAACTCTTCCTCTTACATGGAATTGGGAATTATAATGTAAAGTTGCTCTTAAAGACGCTTCGTTGTATTGGTCAACCTCTAGATACAATTCAGACTGTAATGATCTGATGGTTGGTTGTATTGGGCAACCTCTAGATGCTCCTCAGACTTGTCTCACTTTTTTTATGGCCACCCTCCATCAACTCCATCAATTTCTAGACCTGCTTGAACATCAATCCACATATTTTGTGCAGTATCCTAGTTTATATTTTAAATAAACATGAATGTGAACAATTGAATAGTATGAACATCTTATAAACATTATCATTTCATTTTCTTAAACATTTAATTAATTGAACAATTGATTGTGTGGCCCAATAAAGATGTAACATAGTGTCAACGTTAGCCTAGCAGTTATCATTGTAGGAAATTCTGGTGCTTATCTTTAAAGAGAAATAATTTCAAAAGTACATGCAGTACTCAATTTTGTTGTTGTATATTTCTTCATGAAAATAAATTGTGTTTTGGAAGCTTTCATCAGAACTCAGTCACTGTTTCTGTGCTCTGTTCTTTGTGACATTTCTATGATACAACTCAAATGGAAAGCTCTTTGAAGATGAGATCATAAGGAGAAATAAAATCTATCCTTCTTTATTTGAAATAAATATTGCTGTCAAAAGAGCTTGAGTTGATCTATAAAATCTGTTTAAAGGACCATAACAACATTTACAATTTAATTCATGAAATAATAGATGATATTTTTTGTTTTTTCTGCATTTGGGGGTCTGCAAAATGGTTCTCCTATCTTCATCAGTTCAAAGGTATAAAAAGTTTGAAAAGCACTGCATTGCACCATCCTGTTAAGATGAACTTATACCCTTGATCAAAATGACTTTACTGGCCACACAATATTAATGATATGGTCAGCTTATGCACAATAATTCTTAATTTAGTTTGTTAAATTTTTGTTTTGTTTAGAAAAAGTATATTTAAAACAAAGTATTAAGCATCTGGAGCATATGAGGATTTCTTGGTGGACCCCCTCTGTGTTTGTGTTCCCTATGGCCGCTAAAGTTGGATGCAAAATCAAAATCTTATCAGCCGCCAAAAGATATTTTATTATCTGTTTACAATCATCTTATTGGATTGACTGCTCTGTTCTTCTTCAGCTTCATGTGCTGGCCATAATTATTTAAATGATTCTATTCATGGCACCAACTTAAGCTTCTACTTCTAAGTCAAGTATTTTGCTGTCTTAGATTTGATCTAATAAGGATATGTAGGTTATTTACTAGATTTGTATATGAAACAATGGAGGAGGAATGCAAGTATTTTACTGTGTAAAGATTTGTACTTGATTATATTGGATTGTGGTCTATTAGAAAAACTCAGTTTTATTCAACATGGACCAACATCATGTTCAGACTTGAGTTTGGCTGTCATCCTATTTCTATGCCTGAGTCTATCCTTAACACAAGTGTGAACTTTATGCAGAGTACATTTTCATGGAACCTTTCAAACTCCCAGCTTATTAGAAGGCTGTTTGATCTCATACAATGATTCTAACATCTTTGGGTTAAGCCTAAATGAGACAAAAATCATGTACATGCCAAAGTAGAAAGAATAAAAAAATTTAATTCTTATTTTTATAAATGAAGGGCTAACTGAATATTTATTTTGGTGAAATCTATAATCCATACTTGCATTTGTTTCTATAATTCTCTAAATTAATTGTGCAAATGTCAGAATTAGTCAAAATTGAGTTTTTGTGGACTCCGCCATATCCTCTATAAATATCATAAAAATGTAATACTTTGTGTCCATTTGAAACTCATCTCCAGAAATTTGAAAAAAAAACCCAACAACCTGACTTAAAAATGTTGGTTAGTTACAGCGACACTCACTATAAATCTGTTTCTCGAAGAACTACAGAACAGTGTCATCTGAAACATGTTTGTCTGATATCTAAGCTGTCACCTTTGTCTTTCAAAGCTGAGAATGTCAAGAATGTTGTGTGTTCCAAAATCTTTATTTGACAAAAAAATGTTTTTTTTTTATCTTCTATTGTTTTGTATTTATAAAGAAAAAATATTTTAGAAACTTTCTTGATGTGTGTAAAGTTTCAACCAAATTACCATACAACATAATTTGTGCAGTGAAGTTTTCTTTGTGTATGAAGCAGGTTTTTCTACTCTACTTTTTAATGTGTAATTGCCAGGCCAGCTGAGAATCCAATTTTGTTTCTTGTACTGATATTTCCCAAATATATAACCCCCCCCCATCTACTTCCGAGCCATTTTTTATTTGAAATCATTTGTTGCCTTTTCATATTTGCAATCTTGATTGTCAAAATGGTTGTTACGATACATAATTCAACAGCATTGTGTACATGAAAATAATCAACATTTGATTTGTGGCTTTGTGTTTTATAAATTACCACCTTATTAACCCTTAAATTTTTTATTTTTGAACTGGCCAGATCTTGACCACCCTAGGCCAGTTTTGCAATCTAAGCAAGTTATTGACCACTTGGTCAGATCTTGACCACACTAGACATGACAGTTGACCACTCTGTCAGATTTAGACCAGTTGTCCAGCCAAGGCAAGTTATTGACTACTAGCCTAGATTTTGACCAGCTTAGGCCAAATGTTCTTTATTTCAGAAACAAATTTTTTTTGTAGGAAAAATTATGATCATAGAAAATGAACGTCTATACATATACACAGTATAACAAATGCATTCAGACAGTGGAATCTGACATTAATCATACACATTACAACAAATACATTCAGACAGTGGAATCTGACATTAATCGTTCACTCCTTTCAAGTTCATAAAAATGTCCATTTCATTTTTCAAGGTGATTCCCTTTATTTGCCTTTAGCCCTGTGAAATATAGATTTTGTTTTTATTATAATATTATCAAATATTTTTGTGTGTTTGAATGACATCAAAACGTGGACTTTCATCAAATTCGCTGTTCAAAATTATGAAGTATGTTATATCATATGTCCACCTGTTATTAATGTGTCATTTATTTTATGTCTTGATTGTGTATGACTTCTTTGTTCAGATAAATTGATTTTTTCTTTCTATTCATACTGCACAATTGTCTTTGCTGTGCCAGAACAAAATTAGATGTTTAACTGTACTGACCAAAGCTTGCGTATGTGAGTGACTTGTGGATGAAATATGTGTACATAGTGTGAAAGTTAAGTGTACATACATGCAGACTGTTGGCTGATATACTTTGTGCTAGAAGTTGAAGTTGTGTTTTCACAACAGATTTCATAACCTAACTCACAAGAAAAATATTTTAATAAATATTTAAAAATTTGTTGTTCTCCTTTGTTTAAAAAAAAAAAAAATATTTTGAAATCAATTTTTTAAGCTAGTGAGCTGTGTCAAAGTTGCTCATGTTTTTTTCTCCTAGAAACTTTGAGGTTCACACTTCAGAAGACTTCTAACTAAAAATAGAGGAGAAATGGACACAGAAAATATGGACTTGTTTTGTTTCAAGTAGGTAATAAAATTAGAGACCGACTGTAAGTGATTTTCTGATTTTGACAGAAAGTTAAAAATTACTTTTGACTGAAGCCAAAACCCAAAGCTTAACAAGACTTTCGGGAGAAGCTGAAACTAAAAAGCTTAACGAGACTTTCAGGAGAAGCTGAAACCAAAGCTTAACGAGACTTTCGGGAGAAGCTGAAACCAAAGCTTAACGAGACTTTCGGGAGAAGCTGAAACCAAAGCTTAAGGAGACTTTCAGGGAGAAGCTGAAACCAAAGCGTAACGAGACTTTTGGCAGAAACCCAAGCTGAAATATTTAGATATTTTGAAATTCATTCACGCATACCTTCTGCGTACATCAAAAATGATGGGGGGAAGTATCAATATGTACATTCTTTTTAGCAATCGGATACAGTAGCAAAGAATGCCTATTTGCTAGTGTTTAC